AAAGCAAAAAAAACACGAGGGGGGGGGGGGGGGGGTTAGGATGGGGAGGAGCAGTGGCATCTGCTTTCTGGGAATGAAAAGAAGATGCTACACAGCCTCACCTTTCTCCTTTAAGGTGGTTATAGATGCTGGCAAGCCACCAGCTCGTGGGGCCTCCAGAGCCGTGCCTGGCTCTTCGCCGCCGTGTTTATGCAATTCAGAGCGGAGCCAAAGAGCTGCCGACCTCTGTGAAGGGCAGAGAGGAGTCTTCCTCGGTGCATTCAGAGAGAGCTTTCCCATGCCCCCAGCCCGGAGGTGAATCTTTGACTGGGGCTGATGCTGGAGTGCCCCGGTCTCATGTAACATTTGGGGCCAGATAGTCCTTTTTTCCACAGAATAGCGTGTTCGGAAAAACTGTCTCCAAATCTGAGTGCTCTCCGGGATGGAGATGGGGCTGTTTATCAATAGTAGATAGGTTGATTTTTCTATTTGTTCTTATTTTTTTGGGGGGAAGCTGAAAGTGCATATCCTCTCACCGAGCCCAGCATAAAGCTGCTTTTTGCTTCCCTTCTTTTGGAAAACCTCTTGTGGTGTTTTACATAATTCTTCCTGCAGTTTCCTCCCGGCGCTGGTGCAAGTGTGCAGGGGCTGTAGCTGCGGGAGGGAGGGTGGATGCCTTGGTTTATCTTCCTCCTCCTCATCCTCCTCAGGAGGTTGGAGCTCAAGAAGCTGCTTTTCCCATCCTGGCCCTCTCACCTGAAAGCATGGTGGGGACAGAGCAAGGATCAATTGCCCCGAGTAAGAGGAAGGGAGAAGACGACCCCAGGGGCTTAATTAACATGCTGCGTAGACATTGGGTGTCATGAACAGTGATCCTATTATTATCGGGCTTCATAATTAATAGATAATGAATAATTAATGAAGCATCATTTAAGCGTAGCCAGGACTTAGATTCGAACGGCGGTTTCTGCAGTCATTAGGAAGAAATCCTTTTCCTTGTGTTGAAAAATGCAACGCGCTTTCAAGTGCGGTTGTGTGTCGTCTTTTAATCCCTTAAATATTTAACTGCTGGGTTCTTAGCTCGGAGGTGCTTTAGAGGGAGGCTGCCAGCCCTGCTACATATATATTTATATACAAACCGAGTTTGCAAGGCAATCTCCATTTAAATCTTTTTTTTTTTTTTCCTGCAGCCCCAGCGATGCTTCTCTTACTTTCTTTCATGGTGCAGCAACTACAAATAGAGGTGGGGGGGGAAAGGAATCCTCTCTCTTTCCTTTAACTCGCCCTTTGAACTCAGAGTGTCGTGCCCTGATAATGTTATAATATGTGATAAAACACAAAAAATCATTCCAAAGGATGATCCCTGAAGGGGATGCTGGAGGAGGAGGAGGAAACATCAATGGGATTGTCAAGCAGAGACTCAAAATGCCCCCTCTTTGAAAGCATCCCCGGCGCTGCCGCTCTTGAGCCTGTAGATTAGAAACTAAAGGCTCCTCGGGGAACGGCAACTTCCAAAAGCAAGCGTTAATGCTCGTGTCTTTATTCTAATGTGGTCATTTGCTTTTCGTTTGGAATGAAGTAGCTGTTTACATAGTAATCAGCGGAGCCTGACGTGCGCAGGTTGGGCAATGCGCTGCCTCGGACTCGGGGCTGGATAATGAAGTGTGGCTCTTTGCTGTGGCTGGGGTTCATGAGGAAGCTTTACCAGGGAGAATTAATCAGGAAGAGGAGTGATTTTTGAAGCGTGGTGTGGCAGATTGCCATGCTGCAGGACCTCTGAGGATGTGAGATGAGGTTTGGGAGTCCGTGGACAGGTCCTGGGAGCAGGGAATACCTCCAGCTGGGTGGCCAAGGAGGTGCTTCTGAAGTTCTACCAGGTGGTTGTTACTCAGTTGAAGTTTCTCAATGCTTGGCATCATGAAATAAGTGTAGAACTTCACGTGGGCATCCTGGTTTCGCCGGTCTCAATGTCTGCCTCAGATATTTATTTTTTAAAAAAACTCTTTTACCATGTGCTTGTTACAGTTCAGGACCTCAAGGGTCTTGGTTATGAAAAAGGGAAACCGGTTGGTTTGGTGGGTGTGACAGAGCTCTCCGAAGCCCAGAAGAAGCAGCTGAAGGAGCAGCAGGAGGTAATGCCCTGAAATGATTTCCAAATTCCTTTGGTTACCAACGTATTGCCTTGCAGCCTGCCTGGGTTGGGGGGGGGATATGGAGGTGGAGAGAGCAAAGGAACTTTCCTAGTGTGGCCCACAGATAAACCTGGAGGATTTGTGCTGAATGCCTGAGGATCACGTGGTGCTGCAGTCAGCAGAAATATTAGAGGGCTTGGGGGAATATGAATTAAGGCAGCCAATTGCTGTCCTACCAAACTAAAACCCCAAAATCTATAAGGTCTGTTGGGTCACAGCTGCAGCTGGTGATGTGTTGCCCCAGCAGCGGGGAGAAGGTGAACGGATACTTGAAATTTTGGGGGGGAAGGAGAGCAGAATTGGCTTTTGTGAGGCCGTGAGGGTGATGTTTCAGCTGTGTGGGGCTGCTCAGATGGCAGCAGTCCTTAGTGTTACCATCAAGGTACTTCTAGCAGAGGAACCAGCACATGATGCTCCTGTTTGATGTGAGAAACGAGTGGAGGAGATCAAACAGCAGCTCTGCCTGGTGGGATTTGTTGTTGTCATAACCTGTAATTCTGTGGTGTGGGCTCTGCTGCAGAACCCTGTGCCAGACTCTGCTCCTGTAGGTTGTTGTATTGAGCATCCTGTCAGGTCTCTTCTTCTTCCCCCCCCTCTCCAGATGCAGCAGATGTACGATATGATCATGAACTAGGTTGTTTTATTGAGCATCCTGTTGGATCTCTTCTCCCCCACCTTAGATGCAGCAGATGTACGATATGATCATGAAGCACAAGCGGGCCATGCAGGAGATGCAGATGATGTGGGAGAAGGCCATCCAGCAGCACCAACACGGCTACGACAGCGACGAGGAGGTGGACAGTGAGCTGGGGACGTGGGAGCACCAGCTTCGCCGCATGGAGATGGACAAGACACGAGGTGTGGAGGGAGCTGCCCCCCAAACCTCTCGTTCTGTGGTTGCCCAGAGACCTCCAGAGGGAGATGTCTGAGATCGGGGTCGCTTTTAACCACTCTGTGCTGTGATTTCCCTGCCTCTTGAGTGGAGATAATAACCCTCTGCTGCTGGGAGGCTTTATGCTTCACAAACCCTCTGAGCGGGTCCAGAGAAGAGCAACAAAGATGGTGAGGGGTCTGGAGCACAAGTCTTATGAGGAGAGGCTGAGGGAGCTGGGGGTGTTCAGCCTGGAGAAGAGGAGGCTGAGGGGAGACCTTATTGCTCTCT